CACCCAGGGCACATTTTCCCGAAGTGGTCCCTCCAAGCTCCCGGACCTCCACAGAAGGCAATCCAAAGTTCTGCGGCTCAAGCAGGCAGAGTTGGAATTTCCATCTTCTGTTGCCACCGAATAAATCACGAGCCTGACCTGGGCCACCTCCACCCCTGCCCCACGGCTGGTCAGCCTGATGGCCACAGATGAATGAGTGGCCTCACCCCTGCCTCCACGCCCAGCTGGTCCACGAATGTCTGCTGGTTCATTTGATGCATGTCTAGATACGTGGACCCCGAGTCCTGAGAAGAGCAGACAAACCTCCCTGCCTTTGAAATCGGAGCCGGCTCCTCGGGCTCCAAGGCCCTCCTCAGTGCAGGCCCAGAAGAGGACCCCACGCCCTGGCGTTTTCACCTCCTGCCGGCTGGCCGGTATCTCGGAGAGGTCAGCCGGGCCCTGGGTGGGCTGGACTCCAGCACGCAGTGGAAGGTGTCCCAGTCGCTGTCCCCCACGGTCACTATGCTCATCCCGTTGTCCACCAGCGGTCAATATAGTGGGGGTCGCCTTATAATCAAAGGTAGGTCCGAGAGAAAATATATTTAGTGAAGTTCTGTTTTCGGGGGCCAGTGGTTTTGAGTGCTTCGGCTGGCGGGGGGGGGGGGGGGCGCCTTCTGCTCAGCCAGGCCCATCTCCCTGAGTGTCCCACCGCCGCCCAGATTGAGGGTTCTGACCTACAAGGTTTGCACAGCTCCAGGTCCCCCTACTGGTTCCAGTCCTGGTCCTGCCAAGGTTGTGAGAGAGGGTGGGGGTGTCCTTGGCACCTCTGTGACATCTCCCTCTGGGTGTCACTGACTGTCAGCTCAGAGCTGGGCAGGTGTCTCATCCTCCGACCAGCCCGTGAGGAGTCAGGGACGGTGTCACTCTCCACAGATGAGGGAGCTGGGCCCAGGGCCATCAGGTGGGCGTGGAGGAGCCTTGAATCAGACCCAGGCCCACCCTGAAGGGGTGTGGGGTGGGGGGCTCTGGGGGGGTCCTCCTGGGCCTGCCTACTCCAATGTGACTAACTTCTCTGGAGCTTCTGTGTCCTCGCCTGTCCTGCCAGAAGGCCTGGGGCCACCCATGACAGTCCTTGTCCTTTACCTTGTTCCTCTTTGGTTGCCAGCCAGCCCTGATCATGCACTCTGCTCCCTGTGTGGGAAATAGGCTCCAAGCTGGAATATCGTGGAAGCCACAGTGCAAACCGGGGCGGGGTCAGCCTGGTCCCAGCTCTGGGGACAGGTCCTGGGCCCCAGCCTGGCACCTCTGGAGATGTCCAGAGGACATCCTCTCTGCATCTCCTGCCCTCGAATGTCAGGGAGCCAGCCCCTTGCTGCCATCCAGCCTCTGGTCCACCCGAGGTTGGGACAGGTGGCTGTGCCCTCTGGCTGGAGCCCCAGCCGTGTCGGGAAGCTGTGGCCTCCCAGGCATGTGACCAGCCTGGTGGAGGGGGTCTGTCTGCCTGGGGCTTGGCTGACCCGTTCCTGTCTTTATTGTGCACCCCCCCCCCACCCCACGGAGATTTGCTGAGTCATCCCCCTCCCCCCACCCGAAATCTGGACACTGTTGGATCATGAGTCAGTAGCTGTTGGTGGTTCCTGCAGCCAAGTGGCCAGAGAGAAATGACCGGAGAGAAAGGAGCCAGACTCCTGCAGCAGCGGTGGCCGAGGCTCCCTCCCGGGCAAGGGGTTGCCCAGGCGGCCCCAAACTCAAGATGGCCCACAGCCTCTGACCTCTGAGAGGGCTGAGGATGGGGTTCCGCTTTGAGGCTCGGGGCACGTGCCCCTCTCGGGCTCGCCTTTGCCCCTGGCCTCCCCCAGGTTGCCTCTGCTCCCGTTGTGTATGGGTGGGGAAACCGAGGCTCAGAGCAGTGATGGCAGAGTGGCTGGGCTGTGAAGGGCTCTGAGCCAGCACTATCAGCGTCCACGGTGTACCGTCTCCCCTCGGCCACCTGGACCCCCTCTCCCTGGGAGCCCCCCAGGCTTGACCCTGTGAGGCAGGGACAGTGTAGGAACTAGGCCCCAGAGTCAGGCCCTGACTTGGCCCTATTCTGGGGAGGGAGTCTCTCCCCTTCCAGGCACTTCCCACTCCTGAGGCTCTTATCGAGGGTGGAGCCTGACCACAGGTTTTGTCTTTCAAATGAGAGTCTTCCCTTAATGTGGTCAGCAGGCCTGGCGCTGTGCCCAGGTGCCCGGGAGCCTGAAGCTCCGTGGGATCGAGGGCAGGGGCTGGCCGGTGGGGGAGGATGGGGTGGCCGTGACAGCAGGTCTGGACCCTGGCACCCATCCTCTGGCCTGGGCTTCCAAGGCCTGGCTCCCAGGATAGTGGTGGCCTTCTCTCGGGCCGGTGGAGAGGTGGGCCCCTCCCCCGCCCTGACAGCCCGTGCCCCGCACCAGGCCCAGTACTATGGGGAGATCGGCATCGGGACACCCCCGCAGTGCTTCACCGTCGTCTTCGACACCGGCTCCTCCAACCTGTGGGTGCCCTCGGTCCACTGCAAACTGCTGGACATCGCCTGCTGTAAGTCACAGCCCTGTCTGCCCTGCCCCGTGCACCCCTCTCCCCGGTGGCCAGAGAGACCCAGAGGCCGGGCCCAGCGCCTGCCTGCCCGTGGACACAGGAGCAGGCAGGGAGAGGGGTGCCCCCGGCATGGGGGCGCACAGCCCCCGTCCACGTCACATCACGGGCACCCTGTCCCTGCGGGCATGGGGACCTGCAGCCCAGCCTCCGCCTGTGTCCTCGTTCTGCAGCATAGCTGTGGGCTGGCTGCCACCGAGGAGGGCAGACCGCAACCTTCAGCGGGCCCGGCCTCCTCAGCTCTTGGGCAATGCGCTGCTCCCACCTCTCGGCCACACTAGAGGGCCTGGCCCCTCCACCGTGCCCAGAGCACCCACTTTCCGGGTGAACCTGTTCCTGCCCGCATGGCTTTCATCCGGCCTGGGACCGTGGTGACCAAGGGTGGAGCAGGCCGTGGGCTGGACCACTCACTGGGCCAACACCAAGGCTGGGGGTCAGGGTGGATCCCCCCCCTGGGGATTTGGCAGGTGGGCTCTTCAGTGGATGACTGGGGACCTGGCTGGGGGGCTCCTGGCCGTGGTGGGGTGGCAGGCTGACGGGCCCCCATCTGGCGCAGGGATCCACCATAAGTACAATAGCGGCAAGTCCAGCACCTACGTGAAAAACGGCACCACCTTCGACATCCACTACGGCTCGGGCAGCCTCTCCGGGTACCTGAGCCAGGACACCGTGTCGGTGAGTCCATCGGGGGGGTCCTTCCAGGTTGGGGCGCTTATTGTGGTGGGGCATTCTCCCCCGATGTGATGGGACAAGAGTGATGCCCAGCTCCTCCCCAGGCAGGGCAGGGGTCTTGGCCAGCTCCCCAGGGGGCTATTGGCTTTTGGGCGTCCAGCAGCAGGCAGCTGAGTGAGGCACACGGGAGGCCGGCTGGAGCAGAGGCCGGGAGGTGAGAAGGAGCCCAGTGCGCTGGGCAGTGAAGAAACAGAGCAGGGAAGGAGATGGGGGCAGATGTGGCCGTGTGTGCAGGCCGGGGCATGGCAAAGAGGGTTGGAAGGAGACTGTGGGGTGGGCAACCGCCAGCGAGGTGAGGGTTTTGACACCCGCGTAGTCACTGAGATTGGGGATGCAGATCTGGGACCAGGACCTGGTGAGTGATGACCCAGGAGGCCCCCTTCCAGGCTCCTAGCCGGCAGCTGACAGAGGAGCCTCTGGGCGATGGGGTGCCATTCTGATATGTTGGGTTTGAGGTGCCGACTGGGTGCTCAGGGCCAGGCCTAAGGATGGGGGCCTGGGTTAGGGGCCGGGCCTGGCCGGGTCCCTCCAATTGGGGAGGCTCAGGGAGGCCAGAGATGTGCCAGGAGTCCCTCTTGGGCTGCTGACAGAGGGCACCTACAGGGAACACTGGGAGGGAGAGGGAGCAGCCGGGATGGCTGTCCGTGCCTGAGGTGGAAGGTCTTTGGGGCCACATGCAGAACGAGCTGTCCTCCCCCAGGCCGGGTGAGCCGGCCCTTGAGTGCTCTGCCCGCGAGCACTTGGTGGGGAGCTGCCTGGTGCCGGGGCCGCAGGAGGGCCTGGACTGAGAGTTCTGGGGGGCGAGGAGCAGAGTGGATGAAGGTCCCCTCCCAGGCCCCAGCTCCCAGCCCCCAGCCCCAGGCAGGACAGGAAGGCAGCAGAGCCTTCAGCAGGGCCAGGGGTCCAGGGTCCAGGAGAAAAGACCCTTCTTCCAGCTGGGGCCGTGTCTGACCTCTGATGGTCCCAGCGGGTCAGGAGACTACCCGCAGCGCCCCCCCCCCCCCCCCCCCCCCCCCCCCCCCCCCCCCCGACACACACACACACACACACACACACACGCACGCACACTCACACTCACTCTGCGTCTGCCTGCTGAGTCTATCGGTTTATCTGGGGGGCTCCGCCTCCCCGCTCTCTGGGCCTGAGACAGGATGTTGCCCAACACGCCCCCCTCCTCCTGGTGTCAGCCCCAAACAGCCACTTCTTTCCCACATCCTGCTGGCCCCCCTTTATCTCCCTGCAGCCTCTGCCCAAGTTGGGGGAGGGGACAGCGATGGGGGAGAGGGTTGTGTGGCCTGAGTCCCAGTCCTCTGAGCCGGAGGGTCATGGGGTTCTCCAGTCTCCCCAGCTGAGCCCAAGGGCAGGGACAGGCCAAGGTGGGGAGGGGCTGGGGTGAGACAGCCGGAGCTCAGCGAGGAGCCAGCCCTCTGTGCTCGCCCCGTTCCCGTCTCTTGTTAAAAAGTTTTCGCAGAGTACAGGCCTCCGAAGCCCCGTCCCCACGGCCTCGACCCTGGCTGTGTTCGGTCCAGTGCCACCAGCCCTTTCTTCTGGGTCCTCTGCCCATCTCGAGGCCCCAGGTGCAAGGCGATGGGCGGAGACTGAGCTGGGTTTTGTAGCTGTGGCTGTGTGCACAGAGACGGAGGCCACGGCTCACCTGGGTGGCCCAGGGGTCGAGCTCAGTGGTGCGCGTGGCCCACTGACCCCCACTCGGCCCACAGGTGCCCTGTAACATGGCTTTGTCGACCGTGCGCGGCGTCAAGGTGGAGAGGCAGACCTTTGGGGAGGCCACCAAGCAGCCGGGCATCACCTTCATTGCGGCCAAGTTTGACGGCATCCTGGGCATGGCCTACCCCCGCATCTCGGTGAACAACGTGCTGCCCGTCTTTGACAACCTGATGGAGCAGAAGCTGGTGGACAAAAACATCTTCTCCTTCTACCTGAACAGGTGGGACAGGAGGCGTCTGGGCCCCTCCTCCCGGCCCTCCTGGGCTCGGCTTTGCCGAAATGCAGGGGTGACGGGGGCTCTGGCAGCAGCCACCCGGTCGCAGTCCTGCGCCTGCCTCCCTGTGTCCTCCTTCTGGGCACAGGGCCTCAGTTCCTGCCACCTGTTCTCTGCCCTTTTACAGGTGGGCAGGCAGCCTTCTAGGAGACTGCGTCTTGCCAGGGACGCCCAGCGGGAGGTGCTCGGGCTGAGGGTCCGGGATCTTGGTGGTTGGGCCTCTGTCCTTTGAACCAGAGCCGGGTCAGGGGTCATGGCGATTCCTCCTCCTGCATCTCTCTGCCCGACCTTCCCCAGGTCTGGTGATGGGCAGATGTGGTCCTGGCTCCGTGGTTGCTGTCGTCCCAGAGGGGGCAAGGCTGTGAGCCCCAATCTGTGACAGGAGCTCTGGAGGCAGTGGGGCTGGGCCCTCCCCATGGGAGGGGACCCACGATGGGTCTTGAGTGCCAGGCGTTGAGCAGAGAGGGCACAGGACGATGCTGCTCGGGAAGCCCTGGGGTCCCAGTGACCATGTGGACAGTGGCCTCCCCTGGCCGCCCCCGTAGGTACCAGCTGCCCTTTCCTTCTGGGGAGAAGGGGGTGCCATCCCAGCGGCCGCTCTGCCCCCGTGTGGAAGGGTAGATGACCCATGGCCGGGTGACCTTGGGAAGGGGCCTCGCTCCTCCAGCCTCCGTCTCCTCAGGACGGTGCTGCTGGTCCCGAGAGGGAGCCCCAGATGGAGGAGTGATGCGGGTGTGCCGAGGGATGGGGCTCTCGGCAGAGTGGGAGCTGGCGGCCCGCTGTCCCGAGCCGCTCCTGGTCACTCTGCCCCGCATGCCCCCTCTCTGGGCCCATCACTTTGCAGGACTCCTTTATATTTGGGGTCCAGCCTGGGCCCTTCGGGCAGAGTTCCAGCCCGGAGCCCTGCCCTCTTGCCCAGCGCCGCCCTCAGCCTGGCCTCTGCGTGGATGCTGCTCTTTGTCCCATTGCCTGGTCAGCAGTGAAGACTCCCCAGCAGCCGCTGATGGGGGGACGCAGATGAGGGGTCATTTCCCCGTGAGCCTTTGGGCCCTGGGGAGGCAGACGAGGTGAAGCAGACCCAGGAGGTCACCCAGGCCTGGGGTTGGGGACGGACAGCCCAGTGCCGTGACTCCTGGGTGACGGCCTCAGGCAGGAGGTGGAGGTGGGGTGAGGAAGTGAGGACTGGCCAGCTCGCAGGGGCAGGTTTGGCGGGCAGGGTGAGGAACTGGAGGCGTGATCTGGTTTCCACATGTGGATTTCGGAGGTGACGAGAGGCAGAGGCCGCAGATGGGGTGGGCACCACAGTGGTGGCAGGAGGATAGGGTGCTTCAGCCTGGTGCTTCTGAGTGTGGGGACAGGCCAAGAAGATGATACTGAGATGAAAAATTAAGTCCAGATGAGAGCGTTGAGGTGGGGAGGGTCACCCGCCAGCTTGGGCTCTGAGTAGGGAAGCCGAGGTCTGAAGGGGAGCAAGTTGTGCAAGGATTTGGAAGTAGGGCATCCTTGGGAGCAGCAGGTGCAAAGGTCCTGGGGCAGAAACCAGGTGGCTCAATTTTTCAGGGTTGCCCGATGCTGCCTCCTGGAAGCCCTCTTTGGGTTTTTTCTAGGCAGATGAGGTTCCCTCTCCTTGGGCCCCTAGCATTCTCTTCACCATCTGCCCACTGGCCTGACCTTGGCCATCCTCAGCTGGGAGACCAGGATCTCTTCTGCTGGGGATCAAGCTTGGCCTACAGTCCACACAGGGAAAGGAATTGGAGCCCCTCCCCTGGGGGAGAAGGAAGTCCCGTCCTTTCCTCTGCCCCTTCTGAATCCTTCCACCCCTGCGGACCCAGGAAGGCCCCTGCTCTAGGAGGCCTCCTGAGATTGCCTCACCTTACTTCTCATTTCCTGTCCCAGCCTATGCCTGTCCCACCCAGTCCTCAGGCTGGATGCACGGTGCAGGCATGGGCGGGGGGCTCCTTTGCTTGAGGGGTCACCTGACTTCCCCCTCCTCTTTCCTCCAGGGACCCAGCGGCACAGCCAGGAGGTGAGCTGATGCTGGGCGGCATCGACTCCAAGTACTACAAGGGCTCCCTGTCCTACTACAACGTCACCCGCATGGCCTATTGGCAGATCCACATGGAAGGGTGAGCACTGGATGTGGAGCCCTCCCACGGCTCTGCAGGGAGCAGGGGCTGCAGCATGTGGGGGGCAGTGGTTGGCCCACAGGCCAGGTGGGATCGGGTGGGGGCGGTGGTGGGGCCTGCTGGCCCCGCGTACCCCTCGCACCCCTCCCCACCTCCTGGCACCTAGGCACACTCTACCCCGGCCGGTGGCCAGTGCCCTCTCTGCACAGCCACCTGGTGGCTGTCCACCTGCTCTCAACCTCTCGAGCCCCTTCGCCTGGCGCTGCTCCCAGCCGAGGCCCAAGGAAGGAGTGGGCACGGGGCTGCGGGCGGGGTTCCAGGTGGCCCTGGGAGGTAGCCCGGCCCCCCCAGGGCCCACGGGGCGACTCACACCCCCTCCCCCACAGGGTGGAAGTGGGCGAGAGCTTGACGCTGTGCAAGGGGGGCTGCGAGGCCATCGTGGACACGGGCACCTCGCTCATCGTGGGCCCCGTGGAGGAGGTGCGCGAGCTACAGAAGGCCATCGGGGCCGTGCCGCTGATCCAGGGCGAGGTGAGCGGCTGAGGGGGACCAGGTGCGTGGGCGGGCAGGCGCCCCCAGGCTGCTGTCCCTACGCACATGCTGCCTTGTCCTCCCTCTTTCAGTACATGATCCCCTGTGAGAAGGTGTCCAGCCTGCCTGAGGTCACCGTGAAGCTGGGGGACCAGAGCTATAAGTTGTCCTCAGAAGACTACACCCTCAAGGTGAGTGGGGCAGCGGGGCTGGACGCCCGGGCAGGGGCCTGGGCAGGGTGGGGTGCTGAGTGGTGACCGCCGTGGCTGTTCCAGGTGTCCCAGGCCGGGAAGACCATCTGCCTGAGCGGGTTCATGGGCATGGACATCCCCCCACCCGGCGGGCCTCTCTGGATCCTGGGCGACGTCTTCATCGGCCGCTACTACACCGTGTTTGACCGCGACCAGAACCGGGTGGGCCTGGCTGAGGCCGCCAGACTCTAGCCGGTCCCCTGCCCGCTGGCAGAGAACGGAGGAGAGTCCAGTAGGAGGAGGCTGGCCGCCCCCCCCGCCCTCCCGGCCCGCCCTGCCACACACACTTGCACACTCACACTTGCCCTCTCGCAGCCTGGCTCTGGAGGCCGCCAGCCCAACGGGCCGCTGTTTTGTTTTGTGGTTTTCCCTTTTCTGGTTTCAGAAGTGCCGCCTGCCCGTCTGTCTGTCTGTCTGGTGGACGGATGGGGGCCCCGGACAGAGCGGTGGGCTGCTCCTGTGCACAGAGCCGTTTCACTAACTTGAAAGACCCAGCTTGGCTTGGCAGCCAGTCAGTGGTGTGTCCCAGGCCCCCTGCCCCCAGGTAGTCCCCTCCCTGGCCTGTGCCCCGGGGGCCTAGCTGCCTAGGCAGGGCCTCTGGGCTGAGCCCCCGCTGTGTGCCAGGCTGTCCTCTTGGCTGCCCCTCCGTCCAGCTTGAGGCCCAGGGCTGGCGCTGCTGCCCCTGCACATCTCTTTGTCCCGGGCCCATGGAGGAACGGGCTGCCTGAGGCCTGAGGATGAGTAGGAAGGAACTGAAAGGCGGGGAGGGAACAAAAGCCAGCCTTGTGAGGCCTGTGGGGGTCATCCTGGGGCTTGACCCTGTCCAGGAGGGCATTCACTGGCCCAGGGGTTGGGGGGGGAGGGCGGGGGGTTGGTGCCCGTCTTCTCTGTGGCTGCTGCCCTCCTTAGCAGCCGAGAGCCAAAGTTGACATGAAAATACAGTGGTTTGAGCCTCTGCCTGTGTGTTGGCGTGTTTTGTGCTTGGGGCCGGTGGTGGCGGGGGGAAGGGGATTGGGGGGGGCGATAGTTCTAAATCCGGACATGGGGAAGGAGCTGGTGTGACTGGCACGATGCCGTCATTTCGGAGGGCTGACTCAGCCCGACGGAGGGGGTTAAGCCTCTGGGGGTGCCCTGGGCTGGCTCAGAGACCAGCCCCCCTGCTCTATGCACGGGACCCAGCAGGCTCCAGCTTACTGCCGGGCCTCGTGGCCGAGACACTGCCGGGGAGGGCTGGCTTGGATGGAGACCTGCAGCTGTGACCAGCAGGATGTGGCCTTGGCCAGAGGTGGCAGGGTGGGCCCCGGCACAGGGTTTCTAGAGTGAGCCTGCACGGAGGCACGATTTTCAGAGGTGGGGCCAGGCAGGGGCCCCAGTGTTCCAGATCCCCCTGGGCACTGTACTCGGGCCTGGGAAGGCAGCCTGCCTCCTGACGGGGCCTCCCTGGCAGCCCCTGGAAGCAGCCTCTCTGTGTGCAAAAGCCAGGCTGATGCTGGATCACCCACCCTGACCACAGCGGGCAGGGGTCCGAGTTAGGAGTCCCCTCAGGTCGCGGTGACTTCCTGGCTGGGCTGGCCTGTTTCAGGGAGGTCAGGGGCATCTGCCAGCACAGAGGACAGTCTGGAGCACTGACGGGATGAATGGGAGTCTGTGAGCCCTTGATGGGGCGGGATTCCCTCGGGGGTCAGTAGCTCGGACTCCTTGGAGCCCGACTCCTGCAGATGTAGGGGCCTGGCGACTGTGCGATTTGTCATCATCCTGAGGCCTTCTCCGCCTGCAGGGCTGTGGCAGTCATTGACCTGACCCTGGGGGGTCCAGGGGCTGCACCCCAGAGCTGAGTCCAGCGGGCGCCTTCTCAAAGAACATTTACCCAGAATTGCAAGGAGGCTCGTAAACACGCGCCCAGTGTTCTCTGGGCCTGAAATACGAGCAGGCAGCGGGCAGGGCTCTGCAGGGCCTGGCAGGGTTTCCGGGCAGAGTGTCATCACAGCCTTTGTGCACTGAGAGGCCCCGAGGGCAGAGTGGCCAGGAAGGAGACAGCGGCTCACCCCATCCCCCACCCCCACCCCCACCCCTGGGCCTGTTTGCAGCCCTGGGCTCTCCTCCCTCAGTCTCCCACCCACTGAGGCCAGTGCGTCCCAGGGCCACGTGCCCCCCCAGGTCTGTGGCACTCAGGCTCCACAACTTCACATCCTTGTCCCTGATTCTGCTCCTTGTGCACACTGTGACCCTCTTTCAGCTGGGAGGCGTGGTCAGGTCTCCCAGAGGACACCTCTGTTCCCTCTTCTGGAACTTGGGGACGAGCACAGCCGGACACCCTAGACACCCCAGATGCCATGTGGATTAGTGCAGGCCCAGCCCCCCGCCCCTAATCGGGGCCATCAGAACATCAATGCTCCTGCCCAGAGCCCAGGGCTGGTGCTGGGGGAGCCCTCAGAAGGGTTCCGTCCGACTGGTCGGGATTCTCCAGACCCCGGACTCTGACTCCGGCCTCAGATCCAGCCTCCGTGCCCTGACCCTGCACCTAGCATCTCTGTCTCCAGAAGGTGGGTCACAACAGTGGCCTCCTGGCCGTGGACCTGACGGGCACCTGCAAGGAACCCAGCACAGCACTGGCATGTGGCAGCTCCAAATTTTGGCTTCTGTCCTGGCTGGCTCGGCCCCGCTCTGCAACACCACGGGGTGTTGCCTGCCCCAAGCGCCTGCCTGGAGGACAGCCGGTCCCCGGCTGAGTTCTCAGAAGCCACCCCGAGTCCAGGGTGGAGGCCAGCCAGAGCTGAAGCACCTGTTCACGTGGGCTCCCAGGGGCCTCGGAGAGAGGCAGCCCCATGGTGGTCTGCAGGGAGGGGCCTGACTCCACCCTGCACCCTGGAGCAGGCCCCTGTGGGCTGGGTGCCCCTCTCCTGCTATCCGAGGACCAGCTGGCCTCTGTGCAGACCACACTGTTGGCTGCCCCCTGCAGCCCTCTGCCCAGAGCAGTCCTGGGGGGCAGGGCCTGTAGCAGTGCCTGGACCAGGAAGCCCAGCTCAGACGGCCAGGAGACTGGGTGGTGTGGCTCCAAGGCCAAACATAGGCTGGGAGGGCACCTGAGGTCAGGCTCAGCCCAAGGACCGGGGTCCTGGCACCCCGAGTCAGGCCCTTGGGGAGTGGGCAGTGGGTTTTGGGGGAAGGGGAACTGAACCCCGTCTCCCGGGGCCACCACCCGCCGCCCTCACTCGCGTGGGCCGGTCTCTGCCCAGGGCGTGGTCAGGGCCTGGGGGCGGGGTTTGTGCTGGGGAAGCCCTCCCACTCAGCAGAGGGTCTTATTTATCAACAACCTTTAAGGCCGACATCGGGCTGCCGGACAACCTTGGATGAGGCTGTGCCAGGGTCAGTGGGGGATGGGGGGTAGTGGATGAGGGGTGGGGGTGGGGACTGGGCCGGGAGGGAGGGGCTTGGCGAGGGGGTGGGGCCTGTCCAGGGACAGGTTTGGGAGGGGCTCAGGCTCAGAGCCACAGAGGTTCGGGAGAGAAGGGGGTTTAGAGGGGACCCGGGTCCGACAGGCAAGGACTCTGAGAGAAGGGGTCCCTGAGAAGGAGGAGGAGGAGCAGGCTCGGAGGAGAGAGGGTGGTGGAGAGAGGGGAGGCGGGTTGGCAGGGTCAGAGGGAAAGGGGGCTTCGTGGAGGAAGGGCCGGAGCAGAGCCAGGGCCTCTGAGGAGGGCTGGGGCTCCGAGGGAGACGAGGGAGGAGACGGGGCCCGCCGTACTTCAGGGCAGCTTCCGGGGTCTTGGGGGAAGGGGGCAGTCTGGGCTCAGTGGTGAAGGGGCCCCAGCTCAGAGAGGGCACCTGCATGGTGAGGCGGGGGGCTCAGAGGGCGGCAGAGAGGGCTGGGTTTCTCCGTGGCGGAGGGGACGCCTTGGGATTTTTGCAGGAAGGGAGGTCAGTTGGGGGCAAGTGTGAGAGAGAGAATGGGAGGGAGGTGTGGTGGATGGAGGCCAGAGGGCCCAGGCAGGCAGGGCAGGGTCAGTGAGGGGAAGCGACTTGGGGGGCAGGGCACGGGGCCCAGGTGGGCCAGGCAGGGCTCGCAGAGAGGCATGGATGGAGCTCCAAGGAGGCCAGTGGCCTTAGGGGCTTGAAGAAGGACAGCTGGCCCCATAGGCAGAGGGGACCAACCCGCGAGAGGTCACAGCCTCGGAGACCGGATTTTGGCAGGGACTGGATTAGTGAGAGTGGGCTCAGGGGTCCCAGGCCCGGGGAGTGTGGGGATCAGATTTGGGGAAGGGGGCAGGAGCTCTGAGGGGGTGGGTTCAGAAACAATGGGGTATTCTGGGAGCCCCTGAGGGTCAGGGAAGGCCTGGTCTTGGTGGGCGCAGGAGGATGTGGCTGTGAGGTCACTCCCAGGGCTGGGGCCTGGGTGAGGGGCACGATTGTGCAGAGGTGGGTGCCCGGGTGGGGGCCTGCTGAAGTGCACCCTGCTGGGAAAGGGGCTGCCATCGGGGAGCTGGGGGCTGTGAGGGCCAGAGACTTAAGAAGGAATCGACCTGCAAGGGGCTTGGTTCCAGGCAGGGGTGTGCAGGTGCAGCGGAGCAGACAGGGGCTGGGCTAGGCCGGAGGACCGGCTTGGTGAGCCGGATGGACTGGGGGCATCTGGGCCTGTGGGCAGTGGGGCTTGGTGAGGTTCAGACGCCCACCGGGACTGGAACTTCGTGGAGAGGCAAGGACTGAGATGCCACAGCGCGGGTCGGGGGACGAGACTCAGCAGGCGTGGAAGGGGCAGCGCCGAGCGGAGGGGTCTCGGACAGCCGTCCTGGGAGCTGGGGTGGAGCCCAGGGGGAGCGCGAAAGGAGAAAGGGTCTCTCTGGAGAGACAGATGGGAGGACTCAGCCAGGGCACCGGCTCCGACAGGGCCTGGGGGCTCAGCAAGAGGGAGAGGGCAGGGAGTGTCCGGGGTCCCGGGAGGCGTGGGGTGGCGCGGGCACGGGAGTCGGGCGCTGTAAGGGGACCCAGCCCTGGCCGGCCCTGCAACTCCTGAGGGTCGCGGCTTCCGGCCGGCGCCTGCAGCCCCCACCCTGCCGGCCGGAGGAGGCGGGGGTGGGGGGTGGCTGCGCCCGCCGCCGAGGCCGCCGTGAGTCAGGCTCCGGCTGCAGCCGCGCGGCCGGCCTGGCGCTGCGGAGGGAGCGCAGGCAGCTGGGGAGGCAGCGGAGCCGCCAGCCGCGCGCCCCTCCCCGCCTGCCGCCCCGCGCACTCCCCGCACCGAGCTCGGGTCGCTGGGACGCGGAGCGGCGGGACAGACAGCGACCCGCGGGACGGCGGAAGGACGCGCGGACGGAGGCGCAGGGGTCGGGCCCGCCCGCCAAGGAGTCGCCAGTAGGTGACAGCGCGCCGTCCGGGCGGCTGCGACAGACCCGGGCCGGGAAGGGAGCCGCGGGGCTCGGCCGCAGACCCCTGGGGTGGCGCAGGGCGCGGGCGCCTTGGTGCCTCTTGGAGAAGCATTCGTTTCGCACATTGTTATTACGCGTCCGTGTGGGGCACCGGGTGGGTGGCTCCCGGCGAGTGCGCGCACTTGGGGTCCCGGCGCCGCTCCGGGCCAGGTTGGGGGCGGGGGCGATGCGCGCGAGTTTGGAGCCCCTGCAGCCGCCGTGTTCGTTCTCGGGCGATTGTGTCCGAGCCTGCGTCGCTGTGTGTCTACACGCTGCGTGTCACAGTGCACGGTTGTTTACCTGGGGGCATCTCTGAGCGCACGGGGTGTGCCCGG